GCGTCCCAAGCCAGTTCTTAACCATCGCGCCACTAGGCCGGCCCGCAACCACTAATCTTTTTACTGTTTCTATAGTTTTTGCCTTTTCTAGGATGTCATATAGCTGGAATCACACAGTATGTAGTTTCTTTAGATTGGCTTCTTTCACTTAGAAATATGCATTTCAGTTTCCTCCATTTCCTTTCATGCCTTGATAGCTCATTTTTTAAGCACTGAATAACATTCCATCAGATAGGTAAAAATGAAAACGATTGATTTAACCCTGTACAGGTGAGGGTGGCAGGGTGGGAGTTGTCAGTAGGAAACGATGACAAGGGCATTCTTGACACCATTCCAGAGAGGATAAATTGGTACTCCATTTTTAGAGTAATTTGGCAGTTTCACATTTCAAACACAAATGCTCTCTGATCCAGCAATCCTTTTAGGAACTGCTATAGACACACAAACTCAGTCATATCCTGGGGGCTTCTCAAAACCCAGGATCCTGGATTCCCAGGAATGTGTCTTTTGTTTGGTCAAGGAACCTTGATTCCAAGGGAACCAACAAGGAGTCGAGGCTCCTTGTGCCATGACCCAATCCCTCAGTCTTCCTCTGCTTTTGTTTCTTCATCCTGTACTTGATTAACTCCTATTCCTCCTTCATTTATTCAAACATCCATTTATATAGGGTCTGCACTCACCACAAGAGCAAGGGCTATGGCTGCTCTGTCCCCCACTATGTCCCCAGAGCTAGGCACTGAACCTGACTCATTGAAGCACTCAACTGGATACTACCTGTGTCCTGAAACCTGATCTGGATTCACCCCAAGGCCAGGGAACTCACCCAGATGCTTGCCCAGAGTGCCCCACATGCAGGGAGCAAAGTCCAGGAGCCAGTCATCCCCATCCTGGGACCTCAGGAATCAGGTAAGAATGGATGAATTATATAGCAAAGGCCATTAATTGGTCATCAATATAATCCATGACCAGAGCAGAGGCAAATGAAACTTGTGGGATGCCGCATTGGGCTGGGCTCTGACGCCCCTCCCCCCACCAAAAAAGAAAAAAACCCTTCTGGACCTCACCAGGGATCAGGGTCTCCCTGTTTTTAGCCTCTAGCCCCATGAACCTTTTGCTCATCCTTCTTTGCTTGAACATACCACATGGTCCAGGACTGTTCCTAGGCTGACTCCTCCACTTGACTGTATTCCGTTCAGGCAGGGCCAGCAAGCTGCATTTCTCCCCAGTGGCCAGCAGAGGGCGGAGGACAGAAAGGGGCATGCAGGGAGGAAAGGAGCTAGTGATAGGGGTCCCAATGCCCCAGCCAATTGCCTGGCACACCCTTCAATGTTCTGGTCCTTGAGATGTTTGCAACCAAATGCCAGGACAGCTCCTGATACCCAGAGATCTATGTTGTCGCCGGGGAGAAAGATCTGGCTTTCCAAGCTTATGGTGGGGTCTTTTGCGGCATGCCCAGTTTGGTTTACCTATTAGGAGTGCAAGCGTTGTTGAAGTCAAAGAGACAAGTTTGAGTCCTAGCCTATACGTTAAACTACTCATATATGACCCTAGCCTTTCCCATGGATTTCCCTAGAGTTCCCATGAATAAACCTGGGGTTTTAAATACCTTCTCCATGATACTGTGAGCAGGGGGCAGATCTAGGTTTTATGGAGCCTGAAGCTCCTACAGCTTGACAGGTCCTCAAATGAGGAGTCTTGATGCTTCAATGTCAAGGTCAATATACCTCTGCTCCCTGCAAGAACAGCAGAAAATGCCACATCCCCCTTGCCCTGCTTGCTTTGCAGTGAAGGTGTGGGTCTACTCTCCAGGTCCCACCAATCTAAGGCCACACCCAGGCTGAGACTCAGAAGCTGGTGTCTTCCAGAATCTCTTCTGGTGACTGATGGCAACAGTGAGGGCCGCTCCCTCATTTTCTTTCAGACACAGTTCTGGTAGCAACTGTCAGCCCCCAGACCAACTCTGTGCCCCAGTGAGATTTGGGGTATTCTATTTGTGTGGTCTCAAATCTGCTACCTTGACCTTCCTAGAGGTTTTGAGAGTTTTTGTGTTGTTTTTTTTTAAAAATCATTTATTGAGCACTTGCTGGCTCTCACTTTCTGAGCTCAGTACTAAGCCCTCTCTACACATCCAGCATCCCTTTAGTAAGACTTTGCTTCCAGAGCTAGGTAGTATAGCTTGCAGTTAGGAATCTTACTCTGCTTTCCCCCAGGGCCTGGCCTGGAAGGACCAAAGGAAGACAGAACCACCCCAGAGCCTTTTTTTTCCTCCCAAACTCATAGCAAGCCTGATCTAGTTACATTCACCCTGTGACCTGCCCTGCAAGCACTGGTCCTGCTGCCAATCTCTTGTTTCGCCACACGCTCTGTCTGGCTTGCTGCCCCACGCCTCCCCAGCCTCCTCCCCCGCCTGCTTTCTCCACACGGCCTCCCTCCAGGCTTATCCAGGAGGCTTTCTAGATTCTGCAGGTTAAGCCTACAGCTCACCACTTCTGTATCCTGCAGCTGGGGCCCCAGTCATGGCTGCCTGCTCTTCCCTAGGACAAATAGGATGGGACACTCTGACACTTCTTCCTCTAGGAGACAGATCTCTGCAAGCTTGAGTCACCCTCTCCTCCCCACTTCAGCCCCAGAGCAAAACCTTCCTCCTCCCTTCATCCTTCTTATTGTGTGAACATTTTTTTGTTTCACTTTTTTTTGTTTGTTTTGCTTGTCAAACTTTATAGACTGTAAACTCTAATCTGTACCACACAGGTTAATTATTATGTTTATTTCTGTGGATAGGATCTTTCCTGTCAGGACAAATCAAAGATTCACTTTACCTGGGCCGGTGATGGGGGGTGTGGGCTTCTGGGAGATGGGGCAGAGAGAGGCTAAGGGGGGCCCACAGTATAAGAGCTATCTTATCTGATTTCTTGTTGAACATACAGGTGAATATAAATGTCAACAGCTCTGATAGAGTGTGGTGCCAGGGACATGGTGGGAATAGAGTCTGCGGTGTGTGTGGGGCGATGTACAGGCTTCATGGGTCAGCTCATCACAGCACCCCTCCACTTCCAGGCAGGGAGGAGACACCCTGCTTAACTGCTGGGTGATGCATTCCAAGGAAAGAGAGAGATACGGGGAAGGAAAGAGCTTGGGTAGGAATCAAGTCGTCTCAACTATTCCCTGTGCCCAGAGGAAGTAGGGGCACGAGATTTACTTTCCATGAAGAGAGCCCCTGGTGGGAACCCAGCTCCAAAACAGGACTCGAAGGAAAGTCAAGAAGTGGGGGGAAAGAAACAAGGAGTTTGGAGACACAGTCTTTTTCAACTACAGGTGAAGACTGGCCAACTTCCAGCCCCTCCAGGAGTGGCCTGTGCCCCAGCTCCATCCACACACCATAGTGTCCCAGCCCTGGCAACGGCCACAACTGAGGGCCTCTGCTAAGGCCCAGGGCGCATGGAGATGGATGATGCCCAGCTGAAGCTGCTTGGGCCACGCGGCAGCACCAGGTCCAGGGCGAGGTCACGCTGCTCGTCCTCAGAGAACACGGGCCGGTAGCCCAGCAACTGCAGCGCGCCTGCACACAGCTCCTGCACGCGGTGGATCTTGGCAAAGGGCAGCGTGTGGCGCCAGGCCTGGGAGACGTTGAGCGCGTCCCTGGAAGTGGTTTTGAAGGCCTCGCGACGCGCACCGGGCCCGGACCCGTGCGTGATGTTGTGGATCCAGGCCTCGAGCTGCGGCGTGAGGCTCAGGCCTGCGAAGGAGTAGAGCTCGCGGATCTCAGGCAGTGGCGCGCGAGCCAGGTCCTCGAAGCGCACCAGGCGGTAGCGGCCGTGCAGGAAGGGCGGCGGCTTGCGGGTAGCTGCCTCGGCGATGCGCACGTGGCTGCGGCACACCTCGCGCACCACGCGCAGGCCAGGGTCGGCCTCCACCCACGTGCCGTTGGTGCCCAGCACGATGCCGTTGTCGCGCGCCAGCGCCTTGGCCGTTTGCTCACGGGAGCGCAGCACCGCCCGCGGGTCGCGCACCAGGTGCACAATGCGCAGGTTGAGCGCTGGGTCGGTGAGCAGCGGGTAGAGCACCTCCAAGTTGAAGAAGCGTACCTCCTTGAGCACCACGTGGCTGTAGGAGCGGCAGGCCTCCTGAGCCAGGCTGAAGGGCCTCCGTGCGCACAGCGGCTTGCAAACAGCTTCGCTGCTGATGGCACCGCGCTGGAAGGCGCTGCAGGCCGGTGGCGAGCACAGCGCACGGCTCACTGCCCATTGGAAGAGGTCAGACAGGTTGCGACGCCAGGGCAGGTAGGCGTCAAACACATCCATGTCGCACAGGAAGACCGAGCGAACCAGGTCACGCACAGCCATGTGCAGCGCAGGGGCGCTACCCTGCGATAGGGCGGCCCACACGTGCCACGCGGGCTCCATCAGGTAGAAGACATCGGGGTGCTGGCTGAAGAGCTGGCCTACGAAGGAAGAACCCGAGCGCCAGGAGGACAGCACCAGCACGTGCACCCGTTCCTCACCACCCACTGGGGACATAGGCCTGGGCCTGGAGACCAGGAAGAGCAGGAGGCCAGTCTGCGCCAGCAGGAGCACCGTCACCGTTGTGCTGGAGATGCGCGGCAGCCACATGCCGCCGGCTGGGGGGTGCCTGCGGGAGGAGAGCACAGCCGTTAGGGGCCGTGGTTCACTGGCCCATCCTACACCCCAACTCCTGCCCAGTGATTGCAGGGAGCTGCCCAAGGAATGTGACGTTAAGACGTAAGCCATGACCTAGTCTATGCAGAGCAAATGCCCAGTGGCAGAATACTAGGGGAAATAAACACTCTCTCCCGCCCTCTCTCCTTCCCTCCCTCCCTATCTGGAGCAGGAAATAATATTTTTGAAACAGAACTCCCACCTTTTGCTTAAGAATTCCTTTTAGGGAGACACTTCGGGGTTGTTTAGCTAAATAGCTTGATGGGTGATTTGGCTCCCTCAGGTTATACGCTGTCTGGGTCACTTCCTAGCCTGTGATCTTGGACCAATCTCTGTGACTCAGCTGACCCATCTGTAAAGGGGGGTCAATACTAGTACTAGAGTATTGGAATGAGAATGGTGGAGAGGGGGAGGTACTAACTCCCATGACTGATAGCTTGCACTTTCTACACAGTGTGCTTCTACATTGTTAGAGCTTTTTTAAACAAGCTGATACAACTTTTGTTATTGAAAGTAAGCCAAAGGCCGGAGGCAGAGTGGCACATTGGTTAAGAGCTGGCTTGGGACGCCAGAGGGCCCCGGTTCAGATCCCACATATGAGGGCCAGTGACACTGCCCTCTACAGCTAAGATGCTGAACAACAGTTCGACCTGAAGCTGGGCTGTGGCAGTGGATTGCCATGGGCTACCATGTGTAGCCAGCAGCCAGCATGAGCGGCCAAGAGCTGCAGTGAGTGGCTGTCCAGAAGCTGGCGACTGATCTGTCTCACCCGGGAAGAGCGCAATGATGGTGCCAACTTGGGCCAGTGAAGCAACGTCCTCCACAACTAGACTGAAGAACAAAAGGACAGCAACTTGTCTGTTCCCCTTCTCCCAGTTCCCCAATAAAAATCTTAAAAAAAAAATAAGAAAATAAATAAAAAATAAAAGTAAGCCAATAAGTAAAAAAAACAAAGAACCAATGATTGCCATCACCCACGGGGCGTGAAGTACTGCAGAATGCATGGACTCCAGAGGGTGGGTATCCTTTTGGAGCCCTGTGAATTTGCAGAAGAAACCAGTTCAGGGAGAGGTAGGATGGAGCCAGAAAAGTGGGGGAGGTGAGAGCAGCATCAGGCCCCTGGCCACTGCTTACCCTTTCCCTGCTGAGGTAACTCACCCCTGTCCAGGGCTGCCTGCCTGCAGAGCTGCCCACCTCGATCACAGATCCATGGGAGAGGCTCAGAGGAGCCTTACGGCCTGAGAAAGCAGGAAGGAGGCTGGATTAGAGTCCCACAGGGGATGATAGCCTTGTGCACTGGGAGAGCTCTGCCTTCCCAGATGACAGAAAGTTCCCCATGGTGGGCGCAGCCCTGCCCTGCCCCTGGCTGGAGCTGGGCACAGACCAGTGGCTGTATCCACTTTCCCAAATGCGTGTGAGCTGACAGTTTCTCCTGCTGGGGGGCAGGAGAGAGGACTCACTTTGAGTCCCTCCAGTGTGACTTACGAGCGATGCGACCTGGATGGAGCAAATGACTTGACTTCTCCAAGGCTCAATTTCCTCCTTTGTAAAATGGGGATGCTAACATTTAACCTCTTAGGGTTGTTGGTGAGGAATGCTGCTACAAGCACATAGGAGGACAGAGTTTGGCAAGGTGCCACACATATGCCCCATGTTATTGTCGCAGTGTTGAGCTGAGTCTGGAAAGGAAGAACCACAGGAGGTCTCCACCCAGAGGTCACCTACGCTTGGAATCCCAGCACTTCCTAGGCCCACCGCTAGCCCCCAACCATCCCTGAGTCCTTTAATGGAGCTTAAGAATGCCACGCTTGTGCTGCAAAAAGGAACACTGGGCCTCCCACACCCCACCCCAAGGTCCCCGAGGTTTCTCCTCTTTGTACCTGTTGCTCCTGCAATGATCTCAAGGATAAGGCACTTTGGAAGACGGGTCCTGAAAGTTTGCTTTCGCAGCATGTGCTCCCTAATAACCCCCTCTTCCCTGTCCATGTCACCACTGAGAAAAGCCAGGGCCTAGTTGGTGAGCAGATCCCATCTCTGCTCCTTCCCTTATCTGGAGGCTGCAGGAGTGGGTGGAGGGTGCCCAACGGCTGTCTCCTGATGACTCCAGAACTGCCTTCTGGGTCCCACACTCACTCCTGGAAAACCCGGAAGATAAGGAGCGTAGCCACCCATCTGTCTGCATTTGTTGTTGCCACTCCTCGAGGGTATGCTTCCCCTGAGAACAGGGAATGGGAGAGGAAGGGCACTCATAACCCACGTGTGCTGACAAATCACCTCAAGTACTAGATCTACTCTATGATTTAGCTCAACGACCCCTGAGGTAGGCATCATGAAATCAATTTCTTTTTTTTTTTGTTTGTTTGTTTTGTTTTTTTAAAGCTGAGCCATCCTGCTACCTGTTGGCAGCTCAGCGGCTGCTCAGCTCGGGCTGGACTCAAACCGCTGTTGCTCAGAGCTCAAACTCTTGAGCG